ATATATATATATATATATATATACACACACACATGACAGCAAAATTGAGTATGGCACTCGAATTGGAAATTTTCACAATAGAATTTTTTTTAAAACATGTTTTGTGACATTTTTTTTCCATCACTTAACTAACTAACACCCTGTGTTAATCAAACAGTCGTACCCCCAAAACCTGTTCCAGCAGCTGCACAGAGGACGACTCTCTCAAGGGGTGAGGGCCGTGGAGGCGGGCCGAAGAGAGGCACTCCAGAGAGGTGCTTTTGTATGGGTTAGGATAAGGGTTACGGCCAGCGCGGGAACCCTGGCGGAGGGACACTTCCGAGGGGGGGTCTCGGAGGCGGACCACCTTCTCCACGGCGATGCTGTGAGTCTTGTAGAAGTCCACCAGCCGGTTGAGGGAGCTGAAGGACTCATCCCAGATGCAGTACTGACCGCCCCCCTCCAGCACTCGGAAATGCTCCACCCTGTCGCCATAGCTGCCGGAGAAAAATGTGTGGGAGACAAAGTAAGGCCTGAAAGCATGTTTTCTTCTAGTCGGTCCTTCCTCTCACTGGACTTTGGATCAACAATTGGCAAGTAACAGCATTAGATAGGACCAAGGTGGGGCACTACGTTCCTGCATTTATTATGGCTGAGAAATTTAAAATATAGGGTTTAGTGGGTTCTTTCAATCAGATACCATAAGGAGACTCAGAATCCTAATAGGATTCATTTGCATTTTTGGACCCAGTACATTTAGTTAAAAAGGTATGTTCGTGCAAATAAAAATAAAATAAAATACTGTCATTTAATTTTGTTTATGTGTTGCCTTTAACTCTGTAATTTAATTGAAAAATGTTTATGACGAAAAAAAAATCAAATCAATATGTAAAATATTTAAGATTAACCTACATTTTGACTGCAAAATGGTCTGTCATTCATGATAGTTTGCATAGTACATTTTTTTAATGACTATTCACTGGTCGACATGACCTACAAAGTATTAACTAATGTGAATCTGATATTTGTGCTGGAGTATTATCGCCATCTGTTGACCATTCTGAGTTTTGCGCAGTGCGGTGGCATGACAGTGTCGAAATATAAATAAAGCAGGCACGTGTCCTTTCCCAGAGCAGGCAGATGTTAAGCCTTGCAACATTCATACGTGCACATCTTGTACTTTTACATGTGTGTCTCTGTCACATGTGTTAATTGCATAACATACCTGCCTTTAATTGATGTAACGCTCTTATGTAATGGCCTTGATTATTGAGAATATTTCCTGATTAAATGGGCCCGTCGTCACTTTTGGTGACCCAAATTGCAGCTTCGCATGCACTGGCTGGCCATGAGCTTGTGATATTTTTAGTTAAAATGGGTTCTTGCCGAACAAATTTAGATATGCGCTGAGCCTGACATATGCACGCTCACAGACATGTGGATGCTGCAAGTAGCTAATGTGCTCAGTGGGATGGAAATCAAACATCAAAAGGCACATTCACAAGTGCCTCTGTGTTTTATGCAACCCTTGCATGTTTATATCCGCAATTTGAAATATAGCTGCCGTAATATGGTCATAACATGGTAATAACACATTGAGGGAAATTTCTACCTATCTCTTGAATCGGGAGTTACTCGACTTAATCAACCTCTTAATATCACCATTATCATGTCGGAATTATAGAAATCGCCAATACTCTCCAAAAATGAATGCACGGACCAACCAATTCGGAAACTAAAAAAAATGATGGCATCATGGAAGGATGAATTGGAAACCTAATTGGTTCAAGATACAGTCCCACTCCAATCCATGACTAATCGATGACACACCCACCCCCTAAAGGAAAGGACTACTTTGGTCTAAAAGAAGCTCCTCAACTCACTTGCAATTGTTTCTTTGGCACCAAAGATGTCACCACATGCCACAGGGTGTTTCAGGAAATAACAGAAAAGTTTGTCAGTAAATTGGCAAAACTGTCGATGGCGAACCAGCAGAGAAATCCTGAGGGGCATGACCAACTACGACCAGTAATAATATAGTAATAACATGTGATGGTCGACTGAGGCACCACAGTGTTCTCTTTGCTCACCTAACGGAGACGGAAAACTCTCCGGGGGCTGACTCACTCTCCCTCACAAGGAACGTGCCGCTATCCCGCCAGTGCAGACGCCGCTCCGCCTCCAGTCTCGACACCGGGCCCGCGAACCACCTGCACATACAAGTGCGCCACCCCGCAAGGCAGGCAAGAGGAAGGGAGATGCACTCATATACTTGTCCAATATGATTTAATAGAACCCAATATACAGCTGTTCTGTTTCGAATATTTTGCTCCTACTGAAATCTGGAAACTAAATTATTAAGAACACCCGTCTCTACAATGCATTGAGTGATTTTTGATATGTGTGATTTACTATGAATACTACTACTGATAAATAGAATGAGAATGAGAATATGGAAAAAAAATACAAATGATAATCATGGAAATGAAAAAAGATTCATAGTAACAATACGACTAAAGGTAGTAATTTTATACAAAAATAACATTGGGGGAAATCAAAATACAGTTACAGTACTGCTAATACTGTAATACAATTAAACAACGACGATAACAGAAATAGATTGATATTGCCGGTAATAAAATTAATAATTGAGAAAAAAACCAAGAACAATCACTCATAAAAGAGGAAAAGAGTAACAACAATACCACGGCTACTACCACCGATAACTGCGACAATGTTATTATTATTAAAAATAATAACGAAAAATTGCAAAATATTGCTACTAATGATAAAAAATTAAAATACAACTACCAATAATACTCAAACAAATGTAGATAATAAAAGTTGCAATAACAATATCGATAAATAACCCGGGAAAATACAAACACGACTCCGACTACCGCACAGAAGAATTAAAAAAAAAAACAATTGAGCACAATTTATACATTAAAACTACTGCCAATAAAAATGATAGCATTGAGGAAAAATATAAATACTACAACTATTATTACTACTAATATTTTTTTTTTAAATACACAGATTAAATATAAAGTCATTTGTCAAGACATGAGCCATTTGCGTTATTTGTGTTTGTTTTGTGTTATGTTTCTTTGGCTTGAAAAGTTGCGATTTCAGAAGTTCACCGAAAAAGTGTTTTGGGAGGATAACTTTGACTTAAGGCTACCAAACGTGGTTCCAGGGAATCACAGAAGTGACTTGTAAAATGATTCTTACGGATGAGGCAGAAGAGAAATGTAGTTCTGCGGCACGTAGCCCCTTTTCCCTTCCATCTCTGCTGTGTACCAACAAGAATCCTCCTCCATTTCTGTCACCTGTACGTACACGACACAAGCATTATTATGGCTCAACGCCACGCACTTGGGGACACGTCAGCATTTACCTTGACGATGTCCCCTTTCTGGAAGCTGAGCTCGTCCGCTTCGGATGCGGCGAAGGAGAAAAGTGCCACAGCCTCCATGCTTTGGAATCCAGGAGAGGAGAGACGAGCCACCAGCAGCACGCTTCACTTCATCAATGAGGAGAGATGACAGCGGTGAGAGACCAGCGCGTGGATTGGGTTAGGCTACAGAGAAGAGAAGAAGTTGCGTTATGTGTGTGTGCTGCCACCCATTAGTTAATGAGGAGAGGTTCTCCACCCGTGTGTCCCTCTGTTTCTCCATGTGACTGAGTTTGTGTGCGTGAACACGTGAACGCAGCGACTGCCTCCTGTGGCTCCGGCTCATGTCCGCGCACATCACGCACTGGGGAGGGCAGTGGGGCTTAAAATAAAATACATCATCAAATTGAAGTTAAAAAAAAAAAAAAAGTAATAACACAGTATAATATCAGCTAGATATCAAATAATTACGGAGGAAGATGGGTTATTTTAATATACCGTATTTTCTGCACTATAAGGTGCACCTAAAAAGCCGACAGTGCGCCTTATGATCAGATGCGCTTTACATGTGGATCAATATTGATTTCTTGGACGTAGTCTTTTAAATGTTCTGTAAAGCGCTTTGTTACAGCTGCAGCAGTTGTGAAGGCTCGATATAAATAAAGCTGTATTGTATGGTATTCCCTTTAGCGTAGCTCCATCTAGTGGATGTATAACACAGCCACTATTGTAGCTTCTATTCTCTGCGCCTTATAATGTGCTCCGCCCTATACTGTATACGAAAAACGTTTTAAAATAGGCCATTCATTGAAGGTGTGCCTTATAGTCCAAAGCGCCTGATAGTGCGAAAAATACGGTAATTTGATAAATAACAGTAAAGACAGAGATATGGAATTTCACCTTCTTTTTGTGCCGCTTTGGTGTGCAAATGTCTCCTATGCTGAAACAAATATTTTCAAAAGTTATTTTTGATTTTAAATTTTGGGCATTTCATGATAAAGGCAGAGCAGGTGGTGGTGGCCCACTGAAATACACTTCTTGCACAACGGTTAAAGACATAAAGAGCTTCATAAAACTCCTCTGGGGTGATGAATTTACATGCAGTTGCTACAAATTCATAAATGATTCTAATTACTTATTAAACAATTTGGAGTGTTTATTTAACCTACCGTGCATGTTTTTGGAATGTAGGAGGAAACCCGAGCACCCAGAGAAAACCCACGCAGGCATGGGAAGACATCCAAACTCCACACTGGAATTTTTTACATCCCACATTTTTTTTTAGATCAGCTGTACTCAGCCTAGACTGAGGGTGCTGTCCTGACTCATGTTCACCCCCCCTCCCCCCTCCCCATGCCGAGTACAGCTTTTACGAAGACAACCAGGCATTCTGCAACAAGGTTATCACGAAGCTCCAACCGCAATGTCCCACGTCGCTAAAGGTCATCAACATATTAAAAAGAGCTCACAGGATGACAACTGGCATTAAAAACAAACTACAAATCAGTAATCAAGATTCTAAATTAATTGGTAAAATAGTTCATTATTATGATAGCACATTTATTCATGTGATACGATTAGAAATGAATTGAAGAGTAACCCACGTGTCTATAAATAACAGACGACACAAATCCCCTCCTCGGCATTTCATTATTTATCATTATGTAACACTGATGTCATCATGAATTTATTTACGCCAGAAAAGGGCTTATTATAATGTGACCTGCTTGCACTTGAATGACACAAAAGACAAAAAAAAAATGATGAATATTGAACGGTAGCAAAAATAGTTTCGACTTCTGCTGAACATTTAATGTGATACTTTAAAAAAAAAAAAAAAGAGTCCTTGTTGCTTGGCTTTATATGACTTGCAATGAGCAAGAATGTACAAAAATGACACCCTGGTGTGATATTTACCATTCAGCTTCTTGTCAGAGAAGAGCGTGTTGTGCAAAAAAAAGCCGTGACACACTGAACAGTGAATTCAAACGTTTCGAAAAGCTCAAATGAAGTTCACGGGTCAATGTTATACAACATTTTAGGTTCATCCTAAAATGTCACCCCTGAGGCCATTATCCCAAACTTTTTGGTGAGTACTGTAAAAGTAAGTCAGTAACAGTCCACGATGACTTCCTGACCACCGTCCTTGCCGGCGTCCCCTAGAGTAACTCCTGCGCTCAGGATGTCCTGCAGCAGAGACTGGAAGGAGTTGTGAACGTAATCGCTGCTTTGGCTCAGAAGGACCCGCCGCTCGTCTAAGGCCAGTGACGTCAACACTTCGCACACGCTCACGCGCTGGCCTTTGTCTCCTTCGTTCTTGAGCATCTTCCTGATTTCCTTCCCCCAACCCCATTCAGGCAGTTCGCAGGACACGGACATCACGTCGGCGGTCCCGTAGATCGTTTCTCTGATTCTTATGAGGAGTTCACAAGCCTTTAGCGCAACGGGGCGGTCGCAGTCCACCAGGCCGCTCAGCAACACCGAGAAGACGCCTTGATCCACTAAAGAACTCAACGCCGAGTCTAAAGCGGCATCCCCGGCCCGCGCCTGTCCATTAGCGTGCGTTGAAAATGTCGCATAAGGGTGATTCTCTGCACCGGTGCATCTCCCGTGATCCGAAAAGGCGGCGTCCAGCAGGAGCTCAGCCAACTCTAACGTGTTCACCTTCACCTCCCAGTCCAAATCCAGGCTGCCGCGCGAGAGGACGACGCGCACCGACTCCAAGAGAAGCGAGGGGGGCGACGAAGGAGGGGAGGAACAAGAGGAGAGCCAGGTCATGAAGTAGCGGACAACGGCCCGCCTGGCGAAACCTTCCGTGTCCTCACAAAGAATCTTTAACAGGCGACCCACTGTGTCAGTCTGGAAATAGACAACATTGACAACTCCAGACATTTTTTTTCCCAGACTAATGTTGCTAGTTTACAAAAACTAATGAATTAAAAAAATATTTTCGTCAATGAAATACAATAAAAATTCTTTTTAAAAATGAAAACTGACTGAAACTACATTTTGTGTTTTTAAAACTAAAAAAAAAAAAAATCAAAAACTAACAAACATCCTCTAAAGACTAAATGAAAATAATAATTAAAAAAAACACAAGTCAACATAAAATGAAAATAATGAAAAATCCAAAACTATTATAACCCTGTTTCAGACACATTCGGCACACAAAGCATCAGAAACAGGTCTCGCCAATGCAAGCTTTAATTTTCAAAGAAATGCTTCACAAGAAATGCTTTGTAATTCGTGAAACATGTCAAATTCGCCTACCTGTTCCTGAGACAACTCAGTTCCCTGCAGCCCGTCGGGCACGAAACTCCGGAAACCCCGCGCCAGTGCCGAGACGGCGCTGGCTCTCACGTAGCTCTCCGAATCCTGCAGCGCCTCCCGGAGAAGCGGTGCGGTAAGGCGCTCGCTCAACAAAGCAGAGTCAGCCGATTTCCGGGTCGGGACACAGTGCAGCTGTCCCAAAAACTCGATGGTGGAGTCTCTCACCTCCCAACGTGGATCGCATGCACGCTTCTCCACTCCCATGAAGAGATCTAAATTCAAAGTTAAAATTTTTTAGAATCCGTTCATTGCCGTGGACATTTACATTCGTCAAGTGCAATCCAACCATTTACTGCCACCACTGTGGTTTTCGCTGTTTTTTTAGGAGAAATTTCACAGAACGGAAAACAGTAGAATCAAAAGTTTTTTGGAGAAAATAGGATATCTTTCCTGTAAACACACAAGGGATGCTGAACACTACCTTCTCTGAGCTGCTGTGAAATGAATGAGAGGTCCGTCCAAACACTTGTCCACTGCACAAATGCCTTGTAGGACTTTTGCAGTACCTAAAAACACACAAACTATACTTCGTTAAATTTTTTTTCAACACTACGGGGACACTTTTATCTTCCAAAGTGACTACCGCGTTCTATAAAATATAAATAGTACTTACAGTGGGGTCTGAATCGGGGTTACTCATATAATGTACCAAGATTTCAGACACCTCGTTCATTGTGCTGTCAGCCCCTGAAACGCAAACATCAAGATATGTTTCATTCCGTACATCTGTTACATTTGTAACTTGCTTAAGGAGAAGGATTTATTTTTTGCTTGGTTAGATTACCTGGGCTGCTGCTGAGGGAAGCCAAAGCCTCCAAAGCGGATTTCTGAACTTTGCCACAGTTGACGATGCACCGGTAAACCTCATTTTTGCAGCCATCGAGTGAGGACGACGAGGAGGAGGTGGAAGCGTCACCACTGCAGATTCTTAGCAAAGTAACAACTGAGAGGACAATCATAGCCGGGAGACACGGGAGGATGCCTGGGGGCTAAAGGAAAGGAGGATTTCTAAACCACATATATCCAGTCTAATTTCTATCCACATTTATATGAACAATTGAGAGTCTTCATTGAAGATAAAATGCAAATAGCAGTACGGCTCAGCATTTATACATTTTTATAACATCTTTGGTTTTATTTTTATTTCACAATTGCAAGTCAAGCCGGAACACAGGCTCCTGTGAGCTGTGCATAGCTGATGGGCTATCTAGCTATCTCAACATGCGGTTAATCGGGCACACAGCCATAAATTTGAATCAATATCAGCCAAAATACAATGACATTAATCATCACAGTACACAGTTACAGTATGTCTCACCATAAGTGCCACCTGGGGGGTATTTCTCAGACAGACACAGATCATGGAGATGAACGTGCTTTTATTCTTCAGCTGTGCCGTCATGATTGCAGTGTCTGCTGAAGGGGCTGAAAAGATTTTTGAATACAACGAAGGGTTACACCTGTCGCTTTGTTTCGATGTACATTTCATACCTGTTCCTAGCAAGGGATGCCCAGTGACAAAGTGGAGGGGCAGCAGGAGGATTCTCACGGCCTGTCTTATGTTGGCTGCGTCACTTGATGCACATGAGTGACTTTGGTGGAGAAACGCCGCCGCAGCTTGGACGAGGTCGGCGGGTTTGTTGACGTTCAACATAGAGGACAAAAGACGGCTGGTGACGTCGTCACTGTCAGGGCTGAGGACAAACATGGCAAATTCAGATCGTTCAGATAGAAGTTATATTGCGTATCTTAGATAACTAGCTAGCTAGATGTAACGCTAGCTAGCTTGATAGATAGATAGCTAGATAGATGGTGAGGCTCATCTTGATCTAATTGTTATTTTTTTCCCACAATATTGCGATTGAATAGTTGATCCTTTTTTTCAAGGCCCTCTTATTATTTTTTCACCAAAATCAAGCAATAAATTAATCTGTACTGCAATAAACAATCTAAATGTTTTGGTTTTACAGATTAGGTTTAGGCTGAAATAAAGGCAACTGAACAATGAATTGATATGCAATGCAGTTTATCTACTTCAATTGCAGTGTTGTTGAAATGAAGCAAGGTTTGTTTTTTTTTCCAAAATTGCAACCTTTGTAATATAAACATTTCATTCTATTACATTGCGATGTCGATTTGAATTGATTAATTGTCCAGTCTACCTGTACCCAGCCATAATGACATCCATTAGAGCCGGTGTCATCTGACTGTATGCCGCTTCTGCCAGCTCCTCCAGAGAGGCAGCAAGCGCCATGAGCAGCTGGTCCCGCAGAGGACGCCGGGCCTGGTCCAGGATCAGCGCCAGTAGCTTGAGAACCTGCAGACTACCAGCTGCCAGTGTGCCTTCTTTGGGTACCAGTGACTCCTTTATATGGTCAGTCGTTTGCAAGACAACACGGCTGTGTTCTGTATTGGTTTTGATATTTGCATGCTCTTTGTTTTCTGGCTGAATTGCGAGGAGGATGTGGGCCAGTAGCTGGTTAGCGGCAGAAGCAACAAACATGCTTGGATCTGATTGGAGCTGAAGGAGTGGCGTGATGAAACCTAGGCAGAATTAAGATCATTGAATCATGAAAACACAGTCCTGCTTTGTGACCTGATTGACAATTTTATTGAGTTCAGATTATTCTTATTTTTTTGTTGCTTTAACTCGCAAACAAAAATGTAAAAAGAGAGGACAGACCTGACTGCACAAAGAAAGCAAGCGCCTTCGGGTGCAGAAGCATTCTCTTTAAGCCATGAATCCAGCCAATTCTGATACAAGGGTCATCCCATAGCTCAGTGTCCTTCCAGCGCTGCACACTAAAGATTATATCCAGAACTGAGCGCTCCTGTATGGAAAAGCAGACAGATATTTAAAAAAGCCTGCGGGGTACACCCTGAAAATTGGTTGCCAGCCATTCGCAGGGCACACAGATGATCGCCATTCGCGATCACAATCACACTTAGGGACAATTTAGTGTTCCGTTTACCTGCCATGCATGTTTTTGGAATGTGGGAGTAAAACAGAGTACCCGGAGAAAACCCATGTAGGCACGGGGAGAACATGCAAACTCCACACAGGGAGGCCGGAGCCGGAATCGAACCCTGCACCTCTGGACTGTGAGGTCAACGCGCTACCCATTCGACCACTGGACCACCCATCAAAATAATTGTGATTGTTATTTATTTACATAATTGCCCAGCCCTAGTTTCACTTTTTCAATTGAACAACTGAAATAAGTATGTTTTCCACAAGATTCACATTTATTATCAACATGCACCTGTATGTGCCAGAAGGCTGTTGACTCCCTACCTGCAAGGCCCTGTAGCCATCCTCGGTGGCTGCCAACAGGCCGCTGAGCTTGAGGGCAAAGGAGCGGATGCTGGGATCAGAAGTGGAGTTGGAGGCTATGGTAGAGATGAAGTCAAGAAGGCATGGACAACTATCTGGAAGTGATACACCTAAAGAGAAACAAGAAAAAATGGAACTTCTCAAGTACAAGTATTAAAAACTCTTAAATAAGGCAAAAAGATTTAGTTGGCTATTTAGATTCACAACGAAAAAGTAATTTTTGCAGAATACGTCCCCTTTAATATAAACCATGGTTGGCTTATTGAAACATTTGTATGCGTTTATTGTATTTGTAACCTCTGAGGAGTGCACCAAACGCCTTGGCCAAGGGCAGTGGGCGGTCATTTGATCTCGCGTTTCGAGGCAAAAGGAATCACCAACCTGCCTCGGAGAATTCGGTGAGCCGGTCCAGTAGTTTCTCCAGGCTGGTGTCATCGGGCAGAGGTTTGGCGGAATCCGCCAAGAGTGCGCACACGGTGGCCAGCAGCGTCGCACTCTCCCTATCCATGCTTGTGTGCGAGTGTTATACGACAGAGAGCGGACTCACGTCGTAAAATAAACTATTAATAATTCACAACGCACTGATAATAAAAGGAAATGTGCTGACTTTCCCATAATCTCGCGGGAAATCGCTTGATTGCAACCGGTAAACGTCTTCCTTTTTCCTCCTCGCAACCGATTTCAGGAATGAACAACAAAATGGATGCTCAGCGATGACGGTCACAATGGAAAACCGCTCATCCATTTGATATACAACTTTGTCACATTTCAGCTACATTTCCGGGTTTGCAAACTGCTTCCTGTGCCACATTGCCGTCAGGTCGTCCATTTTCCTCGAGACCGCACATGGTGGCGCGCCGGTAGAAGACTGTCAGCTTCCCGTCTTTCTTTCCAGTCAGTTTGCGGTCACGAGAAAGCCCGTCCCGTCAAACGTGTTAAATGCAAGAAACGGTGGACATGGCGGACGACCCCGAGTACGAGGAGGAGGAGCCCTCCTTTAGCGACCCGGAGGACTTCGAAGATGACGTCGACGACGAGGGTGAGCGCAAACAGGAAAATCGCCGGCTTTACGGCCTGCTAGCTTCATTAGCTGCATTCTAAGCCGGAGTACACGGCGTGTTATAACAATGACCTTGTCACAGTTAAAAACAAACAAAAAAAAGAAAGTACTTCACCTTGACTGCTGTCTAAGTCGAGCAATTTTCTTGATTTCTGAACGTAGAATGAGTGACAAGTCAACGATGTAAAGCAGTCCGACGCACCGTGTTTCACCTCTCAATCGGCTTCGCAGCAAATCACCTGAAATGAAACACTTTACAATGAAAGTATAAATTATTATATGACATGCACAGGTTCAGCTGAAACAGCTGTCTCATAGTGCCATTCTAGTATGAACCTATCAGCTTTTGTTGACGCACGAAATTGCTTACGTGTCTTTCTCAATTTTAGAATATATGCATTCAAGAACATTTTGCATTAAACTATAATTGGTGGTGATGAAAATTTTGACAACGTAGTTGTATAAAGGCAGTGAGTGTGGACCTGGAAAGCGAGGCACGGTCCAACACTAGCGGTGGCTGGATGGCCCGAGGCCACCTTAAGTTAACTGATGCTGGGCACTCATCAGAGCAAAAACATACACATGTGGCAAAGACTCTCTGTAACTTCTGTTCACAACCCAGGCTAACCTCATCTCCTTTCCGACATAAACGCATCTTAAATGCTTAGTTTTATGGATTAGTTCAGGACACCTCCTTGACACTAATTACTTTGTGCTTATTAGGCAGGGCTTTGGCACCAACTTGTGGAATCTAAGAGCGTTACGGAAACAGCATAGAGACGAGATGAAAGTCACAAACATTGTAGGTTAATTTAGGAATGGCAAACTGCAAATGGGCGGGGCTTACGTGTTAATATGCAGATTATAAACATAATGTGATGATGGCTCAATGAGCTTTTGAACATATTCTCACTTGGCTCTCCTTGGTCCCTGCAGAGCTCCTGGGCGACATTCTGAAGGAGAAACCCCAGGAGGCTGACGGCATAGACTCCGTGGTGGTGGTGGACAACGTCCCGCAGGTTGGCCCGGAACGTTTGGAAAAGCTCAAGAACGTCATCCACAAGATCTTCTCTAAATTTGGGAAAATCACCACCGAGTTCTACCCGGAGACCGATGGCATGACCAAAGGGTAGGACGACTTTTTTTTTTTTTTAATTTGAGCTCGATGACCAAAGAAGAGATAATGTAATAGACACATTGTGTATTTCCAGTTACATCTTTTTGGAGTACGCTTCGCCCAACCAGGCTCTGGAGGCGGTGAAAAACGCAGACGGCTACAAACTGGACAAACAGCATACGTTTAGGGTCAACCTCTTCACCGACTTTGACAAGTACGCTGCTAAGTCCAGCAAAAATTGATGTATTTAATGCAAGTAAATCACAGATTTTCTTTTTTATTATTATTATTTTAAAGGTACATGAGCATTAATGATGAGTGGGAAACTCCTGAGAAGCAGCCCTTTAAAGACTTTGTGAGTGTAGATCATTATTACCATTGTTCATTGTGTTTATCCAGTGGGGTCAAACCAAAGGACTTGACCGATCTATCAAAAGCCAAACAAATGTGAATAGCAACCGTTTTTCATTGCTTATTAACTCTTTGTCTGTTCAGGGTAACATGCGTCATTGGATCGAGGACGCTGACTGCCGCGACCAGTACAGTGTGATCTATGAAGCTGGTGAAAGGACCGCCATTTTCGCCAACGACGCTAAGGATCCGGTCGTCTCCGAAGAAAGAGCGGTATGTGTTAATTCAGATTTCAACACAGTGTGTGTGTGTGTGTGTGTGTGTGTGTGTGTGTGTGTGTGTGTGTGTGTGTGTGTGTTTGTGTGTGTGTGTGTGTGTGTGGAGGGGGGGGGATATACAACCGTGTTTTCATGAATCCTTTTTTATTTTTGGATGCAGCGCTGGACCGAGACATACGTTCGCTGGTCCCCCAAAGGCACCTACCTGGCCACCTTCCACCAAAGGGGCATCGCCTTGTGGGGCGGCGAAAAGTTCAAACAGATTCAGAGGTTCAGCCATCAGGGTGTGTCCCTCATCGACTTCTCGCCCTGTGAGAGGTAAACAGTGTTGCTCAGCAGCACTTGCGCAAGGCCTCCACTGTCTGATTTATTTTTGGATATATTCAACATTTTCATGGACTACATGTCTTTCTGATGACGTGCAGGTACGTCGTGACCTTCAGCCCGCTGATGGACACCAAAGAGGACCCCCAGGCCATCATCATCTGGGACATTCTGACAGGCCAGAAGAAGAGAGGCTTTCACTGCGAGAGTGCCGCACACTGGCCCATATTCAAGTGAGCACTCGTCCACCAGATTTGCATGCACTTTCTAATCATCTTTAAATGTTGCTCCCGCGGAGTTTAAATGGCTTGGTTGTTTTCAGATGGAGCCACGATGGAAAGTTCTTTGCTAGGATGACACCAGACACTCTGAGCATCTATGAGACTCCAGTAAGAAGATAGAATAGGAGAGTTTCAGTCATGTAAAACGTGAAATTTGCAATTTAAAAAAAATCTCCCATGTGTTGATTTCAGTCTATGGGCCTGCTCGACAAGAAGAGTCTTAAGATCAGCGGAATCAAGTATGCGTCTATCATCCACAATCGGTGCTTTCATGGCTTTATGTGTCCTCTATGTTCAAATGTGATATGTTTGCATGCACAGGGACTTTTCGTGGTCTCCGGGCGACAACATCATCGCTTTCTGGGTGCCTGAGGACAAGGACATCCCAGCCAGGGTGACTCTGATGCAGCTGCCCTCTCGTCAGGAGATCCGCGTGCGTAACCTCTTCAACGTGGTGGACTGCAAGCTCCACTGGCAGAGGAATGGAGACTATCTGTGCGTGAAAGTAGACAGGACTCCGAAAGGGACACAGGTACATGGAAACAAACAAACATGGGGGTTGTGCATGTTGAAATGTTAATGGTGTCGTTCTTTCATATCCAGGGTGTGGTCACAAACTTTGAAATCTTCCGTATGAGAGAGAAGCAAGTTCCTGTTGATGTGGTGGAGATGAAAGGTTAGCATACATCGACACGTCGTCGACAAGGCAACAGCAGAAAACAACGGCATGCAGTAACATGAGTACTGTTTTACCACAGAGAGCATCATCGCGTTTGCATGGGAGCCCAACGGCAGCAAGTTTGCAGTTTTGCACGGCGAGTCTCCCAGGATCAACGCCTCCTTCTACCACGTCAAAAACAACGGCAAGATCGATATCATAAGTATGTCGGCCACACAGTACAGAGGAAGAGATTGTATTGCGTAACCCACCCCCACACCCCCCAACTGGCACTAAGTGAAACTGTTTTGGCCTCTGCAGAGATGTTTGACAAGCAGCAGGCTAACAGCATCTTCTGGAGTCCGCAAGGACAGTTCTTGGTTCTGGCTGGACTCAGGAGGTCAGTTGTTGAGTTGGTTAGTTTTTGTTAAAAAAAAACAACAAAGCGGGCCACTGATGACAAATTAAATTACTTTTCTTCTGCGCCCCTGAAGCATAATGGGTAAATTGAAATTCAACATTGTCAAAAAAAACAACAACAACAACAAAGCGGGCCACTGATGACAAATTATGCGCCACTGAAGCATAATGGGTAAATTGAAATTCAACATTGTGCTTGGGAAAATGAAACATTTGCTTAATTAATAATGATGTCATAAAAATGTATTGCACAGAACGTAAATTATTATGCCTAATCACGTATAATACAAATTGCCGGTTAATTGTACTTACAAGACACTGTACTTATGAAATGTCCAAAAGATTAAGTGCAACGCTAATGTACTGAAAAGTTGCTTAATAAATGTACTGCATTCATAAAAGGTAAAGCCACTCTAAGTAACATGGAACGTTTCAATATTACATTCAATCGCTCTGCATGGACCACCAGAGGGCGCCCAAGTACCACTATTATCAATACTAGACTTTGAGAACCTATCCTCTACAGTTGTTTCCATCTCTTTATATCAGTAACCTTCACATGTGTAAGAATTTGTTTCTCCTTTTTCCCCCCCTGTAGTATGAATGGCGCGCTTGCCTTTGTGGATACGTCCGACTGCACTTTGATGAACATAGCAGAGCACTACATGGCCTCCGATGTGGAGTGGGACCCCACTGGACGCTATGTGGTCACCTCAGTCTCCTGGTGGAGCCACAAGGTACCGTGACACCTTCTGCAAAACAAGCCCTGTTCCTGATCTTCACATGCTGTCTTTTTTTTTTTCCGTTCCTGTAGGTGGACAACGCTTATTGGCTGTGGACATTCCAGGGTCGCCTTCTTCAGAAGAACAACAAGGACCGCTTCTGCCAACTGCTTTGGAGACCCCGACCCCCGAGCCTGCTCGGTGCAGACCAGATCAAGGTAGGATTTTTGACCAAGTGTTTTTTTTTTTCTATATTTTATGTGACCTTAACTGTACAGTGGCGTCCTCGGTTTATTATGGACTTTTTTTCTGGCAGCGAACAAACCTCGGAAGATGCTGTAATTTATTGCTAACCGACATGGTGCAAAAGTTGTTGAAACACTGAAAAAATATGATGTGTATATACGTATGTGTATGAAAGATATTTAAAAGTTTGAGACTTGACCTGCCGCTCTTAATCTGAAGCCTCATGTTTTTCTGCTCTATTTAATGATTTGAATATGATCTCCATTGTTGTGTTTCTTGAAGTCGATCAAGAAGGATCTGAAGAAATACTCCAAGATCTTTGAGCAGAAGGATCGTCTGAGCCAGTCCAAGGCTTCCAAGGTTCCATTTTGTTTTCGCTCTGTTTCTTTGGACACGCCAAGCCGACTCTCTTTTGTCTCTACTATTACAGTTCAATGTACGTTTATGATTTGTATGTATGTGTGAGTAGGAACTGGTGGACAAGCGCAGGGCCATGATGGACGAGTACCGTCACTACAGGGATCAGGCCCTGCAGCTCTATCAGGAGCAGAAAGAGGCCCGCATGGAGCTCCGAGGAGGTGCGGCCATTACTCTGTTAAATCATTTTTCATCTCCTGATTCTTGCCTTCTACAGCTCCGATCCGGTGTGCCGACCTGTGTATTTTCACTCTTCTAGGAGTGGACACTGATGAGCCGGACAGCAACGTGGATGACTGGGAGGAGGAGACCATTGAATTTTTTATCAACGAAGAAATCATTCCCATCGGAGATCTGTAGTCCGCTACGCAGGTAACGTATTAGTAGTGTGTGATGTGGGTAAACAAAGTCTGAGATGATTAATCCATGGATGTTGATTAATCTTTGGTGTCTAATATTTGGAAATTATTTTTGAATATTTTTGCAATCTTTTGTTTTTCAATCCAAGCATTGACTACTTTTTCGGAATATGCGCCTTTATTGATTGTGGTTCCTGTTCGCTGCAAGCAAATCATACTGAGGATTTAAATTGAAATATGGCAACATGTACACTCATCCTACTGTGTGTCCTCTCCGGCACAGTCCATCCATTTTTGTGTGGAAGAGGCAAAGCAGCATCATTGACTGGAGAAGGACGACGACCACACAGTGAATTTTGGGGTTCAACGTCACAAGCCTCACCATTCACACCTCTAGTGACATCATCAGAGCTGGCCTGGCTGATCAAGGGCCACATTGAGGGACTCATCATCCGCCTCCCTTTTCTTGCCCTTGTGGAACTTGATATTTACTAATAGCACCTCCTGTTTTCCAATCGGAGCCGAGAGTGGTTCCGGAATTGGCCTCTGTCATCATGCTGGCGTGTTGTTGGTGTGCGGAGCAGAGTGCCATAGCAGCGGGGTGCGGAGGTGTTAAACATGTAGCCTTGTTAGTGAATGTGCTGGTGTGGCACTATAGTGGCTTGTATCCTCCTCCTTTCAGACTCGCCTTTCACACAGGCAGGGCGTGCGCAGCGGGAATAACTTTAAATAAACAGTTGGACGAACTTGTTTTGTGTGAAGTCTTTTTATTACATCTGCCAATATAACCAGAATGACAAAATCACAAATACTGAAAGGTGGACCCTCAAAATAGTAGGGTATAGATGTTCCTTCATTTCATTTCTCATTCATTCATCCAACACTTAATGTTGTGAATTTGAGGCTGTTTTTTTAATTTTTTATTTATTTATTTTTTTGGTAAAGTATTTAAAAATAAAATAAATACGGGCTTTGTGTTTGTGAGCCCTGGGGCACTACTGGGAATGCTGCCTCATGTGCTTGTAGTTTCCGCCTGGTTTGGTCCCGTTCTTTTTATTGGTGAGACAATTCAAGCTAGCCATTTAGTCAAAAACGAATGGTTTGTTAACAGAATGTATGCTGTGCTAATATTTAGTAGTACAGTGTCACTTTGTCTTTAAAGGAAATGTCATCCCCAACGGTTTTACATATTCATTGATTTTTATTTCAATATTTTGTCTCACCACTCCCATATACGTATTTGTTGAAAAAAATGCATATTATTTGTTAATGCACGCGTTTACATATACCGTATATATACAGTATATAGTGCTAAAAAGATAAAGGGAACACTTCACAACAGCACAATGTAACTCCAAGTGTTCCTTTTTATTTTTTTGAGCAGTTTATATATCCCCAATTCATTTCATTAGATATCACTTACATGCGGATTTTCGCTTACAAGGGGGTGGTTTCTACAAGGCAATTTAGCATTAAATTTCATACATAATCAATATTGAATGTTTTAATGGACTTAGAAAATATCCCCCCTTCAGTCATATAAAAAAGTTCTTGGAAACGCACAGTTTTTTTTTGTTATCACTTTTATATCCATTTTGGTGAGTTAAATGAATTCAGTTTTTGTATTTTAACTGATCATATCACAGTTAGAACATATATCTCTGCAGTATCTATTTCCAATATACTGTACATGCAGAGCAAATCTCGCGAGATGTGTTCCACATTTTATAACGCTCACGCCGCCTCAAGTCTGCAATCCGAACCAGCCAACCAAGCATACCGCTCAGTCCTCCCCACAAAGCTTCCCCGCCTGGCCACTTTCCCCACCGGCTGGAAGGACGGCTACACGCCGCTGTCAGTCGACCCGACCGACCGGCCACCATGGAGCTCATCTGCCGGGTAAGTCCAAAAATCCCAATGACGGTTTGGGATCTATTGAATTCATATATGTCAAACTCAATGAAGTTTAATAGCCGTCGTGATGCTCTCGGCGTGAAGGGAATCCAGGGAACAGAAGCGGGCTTTCTTCGTTCTCTCACTGGATGAAAGGATTCGCGGGGGGAGTTGGGTTTTTTTTTCCTCGGCCGCTGCTGCTGGATGTGATGGAAGAAGAGCGCCAAAGTGTTTTTACGCATGAAAGGACACATTGTGGTACATTTAGTAGGCTCACAATAAGATGACAAAACAAGGGAAAGTAGTCCTTCCGGGGTCTAAATGACTATTATGATAAATCACTCAGTGAACCCAACGATGTTGTGTTCCGTGACGATTATCTCAAGATATGCAATGTGACACTTAGTGGATGTTCTTCAAATAGAAGCATGAAGTGAAGTGGAGTGTTTGGAAATGGAAAGAAACCACAAGCAAGGGGAACAAAAACAACAATTTCTCTCCTTTCCAGTGGCTGGCTTGCGTGCATGAGTTCTCTGCCTCCTTGCTTATTTTACCAGCAAAACCAGGCGTTCCATTTGCAGATGTTTTTTCTTGCTTACACATACAATTAAAAAAAACATCTCCTACACTAGCTGCCTCAGAAACTTTTTACACCAAGTCCAGCCCCCCCAAAAAACGTTATTGTTAGCCTCTGTAACATAATGCACAGTTTTAACACGAACACTACATTTAAATATAGGAAAATAAAAATCTATACTTCTCAACAAACAATTTGAAAAGCCTACATGCAAATGCATTGTAATTAAAAGTGAAATATGATTGTACTGTAGGTAATTAACAAAAGATAAATATTTGGAACATTAAAAAAAATAATGTGTGTGTGTGTGTGTGTGTGTGTGTGTGTGTGTGTGTGTGTGTGTGTGTGTAAATGTATTCTGTAAAATGTATACTGTATAAAAAAATCTTACAAAAGGATCTGGTGGAAGGAATATCTATTTAAAAATGATGAAAACTTGCCTAATGTGTTCCCCAGGCCTTGAACTTGACACTTGTGTGAATCTAGAGTCTTAACTCGTGATTCTCACCCACTTTGCCGTGGGACAACATGGCCCGAGAAATTATCCACGTACCAACCACTACAAAATGCTTCCATCATTCTGATCTTCTAGTGACTCTGACACCTAAAAAAAACAAGTGAGCAGGTTCAAGAGTATGACCTGTTTGGGCTCCAGTACCCTGGAGTATGGAAATTGGAACAGCTCCCTGTGTAGAAATCTTTAAATCTGGATTGTAGACTTATTTTTGCACTCTCGCATTTGGTTAAATGTCTCTCGTCAAGCTCTGCCTCTCTGTCGACATTATAGATTTTGGCCTGTTTTACTGACGCTTCTCCTCCGTTTTTGTTCGGTGGTGTGCCGTGAGATTCTTCTAATGTAAAATATGTTCCTTGGCTCAATGAAGGTTGGGAAACACTGGTCTAGACTGACTCTAGTGAAGGTGATCCACCCCCTCGCCTCCGCTTGTTCACATCTCCGTGACATCCGAGGGCCCACAGTAGGGCCAGTATACTTCCCACAGGCTCTTGGGACACTTCCACCCGCCCTACTAAAAAAAAAAAAAAAATTCAAACACTGTGCATTGCGTTCTCATCATGCTTTGTTTTGATACACTGCACACTAGACAATTAGGCAAAGACATTTTGTTCTCGGCTCTGCAGAGGACACTTGTCTGGCAAAATAGTAGGTACCACATGTACAGGGCAAAAATGACTATCAAGCATTAACTCTCACATTCACAAACTTAAGATGAGATTCCCGATGTGCTAGCAAGCCAATCACAACGATCCAAATATCAAAATGAAATCACACACTTGAAGAGGAAGATTACAGTGGCAGATGTTAGAAACGGGTTGTGAAGAAGGCACAGTGAGAATTTTGTGGATTACTTGAGACCAGATGGTGTCCTCTTTTCACATCCTGGTACGCATGATGGCATTTTGACATGATTACTCTTGTGAAAAAGGGTGATGGATTCTGTTTTTCATTACAGTAAACACTACTCCCTTGTGTGTTCCAGGTTTGCAGTCCTGCTTTGTCTCAGATTTTATAAATTTTTTTGTACTTTTAATAACCTTATTTTAGTCAAACTAATTTATTTTGGTTTCGATTTCACTGTTGCCTACTAGATGGCAACACACGTATTCAGTTTGTGACAACAAAAACAAAACGAGAATTATTTCAGAAAAGACAAATTTTTGTTGAGGATTTTGCGGATTACATCAGACCAGATAGACTGGTTTGAAAATTATCGAATGTCATTCGCTGTAATCCTGCTTTTTACGCCTACAGAAAGCAAGAACTGTTGGTTCATTTTTTCGTTTTTGGGCATGATTATGTGTGCATGAATGTTGTAGGATGATCAATTTGTTCATTTAGAATAAGATTTATTGACAGTGGACCCACACGTGTTATCCAATGCATTTCAATGGCTGTCAATTATTGACGGATTTTTTGTGTGTGTGTGTGTGTGTGTGTGTGTGTGTGTGTGTGTGTGTGTGTGTGTGTAAATATATACTGTATAAAAAAATCTTGCAAAAGGATCTGGTGGAAGGAATATCTATTTAAAAATGATGAAAACTTGCCTAATGTGTGCATATATGTATATATATATAT